AGGGCTTGTGAGAAGAAAACTGGACTGAAGATTTATTCGCTGCTGCTGCTGGATAAAACAAAAGAGCTGTCAACTTTACCTCGAGAATTTGTGAAGATACTTCTTTTTGTCCTTTCCCAGTTTGCCTTACTATGCTGTTAGATTTTCTTCAGCGGAAGATATGTCCTTCTGGATGAAGTAAGTTTTTTAGTTATGGAATAGTAAGATTTCTTAGAATAATGAACCCAGATTGCTGTTCAATATCGTCTCATTATAATCTAATGATTGAGACTGTAAATTTGAGTGTAGTGACATGTTTCATTTCTAGAATAATCAAGCCCATTATGACCCAAGTGGTGGTGTGTAATTGTGTTTCTAGTATGACTTGTATAGCCTCGACATCACTTAGCTTGGTTGAACATTCACATGGTACAAGAACATTGGGTAGAACTCATTCTTATGACAGACTTGGAAAAAAAAGAAAAGGGTACCCAAGTGGTTATAAACCCACAAGTCAAAGCCTTGATTTATATTTGTAGAACTGCATTATAGTTACTCAATCGGCTGCAGAATATCCACCTCTTTCAGTTTGGTGTTAGTGTATTAAGTTTTGTCCAAGAATCAGACAACAGTGAGCCTTATGACTATGGTTGGCTGTCTCACTGCAATGGTCAAAAGTGTAAGTGTTAGGCCCTAAGTCAAATCAACCTTGGACATAAATATTTTTATTATATAATTAATGTAATTTAATGGTAAATCTATTATTTAATTAATATACAATTAAATTGAATAATAGAATCTGTAGATTCAAATTTTCGTAATTTGTTAATCGCAAGGAGTTGTGATTGTGATTGTGAGTTACAAATTACATATGATTGAATCTTAAATCGTTCGTGGTCGTAAGTAATAGCGAGATACGAATATCGTTATTACGGATAGACCATTACGTGTGACATTTCTTACTTGTGAAGTAGCTGATCTCACATGCTAAAGTGTGTTGACACTTGAATGAACACGTTGATGTTTTGTTATAGAACAAAACATTGGAGACTCGTCTAGAGATTCCACATGAATAACTATCTGAGTGTCAGTGGTTAATTTCTAACGTTCGGTAGTGAGATTGATCCTTTGACTTGAAATCGTCATAGTACTTTATATGAGGATAGTCATGTTTTGACGGTGTTGGATGTTGTTCTGTCAAGAGCCGCTAATACGGCATCGTTCGGGTATGTCAAGAGCCGTATGAAGATTGTGAATGATCAATAGAAGATTCGTCACTCTTAAATAGTAAGAGATTATGATATGCATTTCATTCAATTAAGT